CCCCCCCTCCCGGGCGCGTCCCCTTCCCTGGGCATCCCCTCCCAGTTTGTTCCTCCTGGGACAAAAGTAGGTCAGGGCTGTGCCAGCACCACAGCTTCCCTGGATCCCAGCACGTCCCCCCCCCCCCAAGTCCCTGGATGGTGACAAGGACACCCTGGAAGGTAGCAAGCAGGAGGATGGGGAGGGGGCTTTTGGGGAAGGGTCCCTCTCAACCTGTTTGGGGGGGGAGGTGAGGATGGAGAAACCCCAGGGTAGGATCCTTGGGGTGTTTGCTGCAGGGTCGGGATGGTTTTGGCACCTCCAGGGGTGTGGGGAGAGTCAGAGCCTCATCCTGGGGGTCTCAGACCCCCCCCCCAGGTTGGTCCTCCTGGATCCCGAGGGATCCTTTTCCAACCTGGTTTCTGCCCTGAACCAGCAGCTGATCCTGCCTTTTGTCTGGCAACTGGGGGAAAGTTGGAGGTCGGGTTTTCCACCCTGGGTGCACCCGGTTCAGCCTGGTTTTGGGGAGAAACCTTCACCCCCCCCCCCCCCCCCGGGGTGTGTGTGTGTGTGTGGGGGGGTGATTTTTTGGCACTGGAAAGGGCTTCGTGCCTTGGCAAGGGCTGGTGAGGGAGGTGGGAAGTGCTCAGCTGGAACTGAGAGAGGGAGGGGGGAGGAAAAAATCAGCCACCGTGTCCCCCCAAGTCCTGGGTTGTGGTGCCTTTTGTCACCCTGGGCCAGAGCCTGGTGGGAGTCACTGGCCACCTCGCTGGCCCACGTGGCCACTTGGGCTGGTGGCTGGGATGAAGGGAGGACCCCTTTGGAAAGGGGGGGTTTGGGTCAGGGGGAGGCAGAGGTGCCCCCCCCCAGGTAACCCCACTGTTCCCCCACACTGGGAGGGGAGGGGTTAAGCTCAAGCATCTGAGCTAAGCCCTGGCAGGAGGAGGCTAAAACCTCCCAGCAGAGCTGGCAAAAAGTGCTGGTAAGCTGGTAAAACCTGTGGGAATGTGGGGGTCCTGGAGGGGGAGGATGGGGTCCTGGAGGGAGGATGGGGTCCTGCAGGGAGGGATGGGGTCCTGCAGGGAGGGATGGGGTCTTAGGGGGAGGGAAGGGGTCCTGCCAGGTTTGGCCTCAGCACCCCAGGCCTCCAAACCCAGCTCAAGGTTATTTTCAGAACAATTGTTTGGCCGGACATCAAAAATGTCTGGGGCTTGTTTTTGGAAGAGACCGAAATCTGGAAGCTGTCAGCTCGTGGCGAGGTGCTGGGCTGGGAGGAGGGTCCTGTGCCAGGGCAGAGCTGGGCTGGATGGGCCCTGGGGGTGCAGGAACCATCCCAGGGGTGCAGGGATCATCCCAGGGGTGCAGGAACCGTCCCAGGGGTGCAGGAACCGTTCCAGGGGTGCAGGAACCATCCCGGGGGTACAGGGATCATCCTGGGGTTGCAGGAACCATCCCAGGGGTACAGGGATCATCCTGGGGTTGCAGGAATCATCCCAGGGGTACAGGGATCATCCTAGGGGTGCAGGAACCATCCTGGGGTTGCAGGAACCATCTCGGGGTGCAGGGATCATCCTGGGGTGGCAGGAACCATCCCAGGGGTACAGGGATCATCCCAGGGGTGGCAGGAACCATCCTGGGGTTGCAGGAATCATCCCAGGGGTACAGGAACCATCCCAGGGGTGCAGGAACCATCCCAGGGGTGCAGGAGCCATCCCAGGGGTGACAGGAACCATCCCGGGGTGGCAGGAACCATCCTAGGGGTGCAGGAACCATCCTGGGGTGCAGGAACCATCCTGGGGCTTCAAACCACTTCCCCCTGGGAAGGGGAAACCCCGAGGCAGGGTGTGCTGGAGCTGGGCTGGGAAGGGGGTGCCTGCTGGGCACCCGGGTGCTGAATGGTCTTCTACTCGTCCTCCTGACCCCAAATTTGCAGCCCACCTTCCAGTGAGGCTTCTCCAGGAAGGTCCCAGGCCCTGTTCCAACCTCTGGGGTGGACGTGTGGGTCGTGCCTGACTTCCCACCCTCTTTCCAAACCCGTTCCTTGGCACCTCAACTGTTGGGTGAACCCCAGCTCCCTGGGACTCTCCCACCTCACTTTTATTGACCAGATGAAAGGAGCAGAGAGGGCAAGGATTGATCCTGGGTAAACACAATAAAAAGCCTCTGCAGTCGTGGCTGGGAAGGACCAGGTTAATTGTAATTATGGTAGTTAAATTATAACCTCAGGAAAAGGCCACCTCTGGCCCCTGGGCTGCTGTGTCCTCCAAACACTGGCGTGGGTGGCCAGAGGTCCCTGAGGGGAGTGTGTCCCAGCCCTGCTGGCACCAGGGGAACCTGAGGTGGCAGGGGGGGCTGGGTTTGGCAGCCTGGCTGGCCAACCCCTCTTCCCCAAGGATCCCAGGAGCTGGGGAACTGTGTCCCAGCAGCCCCCCCCCACTCCTCTGCACATCCCTGTGGTGAGTGGGGGGCTTGGGAAAGGGGGTAAAGGGGGGGTTTGGGGTCTTGATATCCGGAAAAGGCATCGAGTCCCACTGTGGGATCTGGGTGGGCTCAGCACTGGGGGGGGTGTTCCCCCCTCCACACCCACACAGAGCCTGGAGCTCCCTGGGGAAGGAATTTTGGCGTCTCCTGATGGATCCATGGGGCGGGAGAGGGGTGGTTGGAGGTGTTAAAGCCAACAGCAGCAGCACTTGTCTTCTCTTCCAGAGACACCATGATGCCCAGCACAGGCTCCCGGGGCTGCTCCCTGCTCCTGCTGCTCTGTCTCCTCCCCTGCCTGGGGGTCTGGGCAGGCAGGGATGTCCCGCTGGGAGCCGCGCTCTCCGCAGGCTCCTTCCTGCAGGACCTGCTGCAGAGGTACGGGGAGAGCCAGACCCTCAGCCTGAGGCAGGTCCAGGGCCCGCCGAACCCCCCTGACGAAACTCTCTCTGCAGACCCCCAGACCCTCTCTGCCCACCCAAACTCTCTCTGCAGACCCCCAGACCCTCTCTGCCCACCCAAACTCTCTCTGCAGACCCCCAGACCCTCTCTGCCCACCCAAACTCTCTCTGCAGACCCCCAGACCCTCTCTGCCCACCCAAACTCTCTCTGCAGACCCCCAGACCCTCTCTGCCCACCCAAACTCTCTCTGCAGACCCCCAGACCCTCTCTGCCCACCCATACCCCCTCTGCAGACCCCCAGACCCTCTCTGCCCACCCAGACCCTCTCTGCCCACACCCAAACCCTCTCTGCAGACCCCCAGACCCTCTCTGCCCATCCAAACCCTCTCTGCACACCCTCAGACCCTCTCTGCCCACCCCCAGACCCTCTCTGCAGCCCCCCAAGCCCTCTCTGCAGCTCCCCCCCAGAGGATCAAGGCACACCCCTGTCTCTCTCTTCCCCCAGTGTTTCAGCTCCTCCGAGCTTTTCTCCATCCACAACCTGAGCGAGGGCTCTGCCCTGGGGCACAGGGAGTTCCAGGAGTTCTGCCCCACCATCCTGCAGCAGCTGGAATCCCGGGCCTGTGCCTCTGAGAACCTGGAAAACGAGGAAAATGAGCAGACAGAAGAGACCAGACCCAGCTCAGCTGAAGGTAAGTGAGGAACTGGGGGGGCCACGAGCACTGCCCAGCCCTGGGCATGGAGCTGGTGGGCCTGTGAGACACCCCAGGAGCTGTGGGAGAAGTTGATTCCCATTCCCAGCTCCAGGGCACGGGCAGAGTTTGGCAGAGAGGAGGAGGCAGCTTGGGGTTGTAACTCGGTGTGGTTTGTGCCCTGGGCTCACAGCCTGGTTTTGGGAGCTGTGCCTGCAGCCCAGCCCTCTGGGATCACTGGATCACGGGTGGAATTGGGTGAGGTGGCCCACTGAGGGACCTGCTGGTCTCCAGTCCCCAGCAGATGAACTTCCCTGCATCCCACTCCTGTTGATGCCCGAGGTTTTGGATCAGCTGCCCTGAGCACAGCACTGGCTGTTCCCACATTTTCAGACCAGGGCTGGCTTGGGAAAACCTTTTCCAAGAAACCCCCGTGGCTTCAAGTCCACCTGCCCTGCACTGCAAAACCAGTTTGTGTCACACTGGAACCACCTGGACCACCAGGAGAGCCCCTCCAGTGCAGCGAGGCCCTTTTTTCTTTTTATCCCCTCCAACCATTTTTCCTCCACCACTTTTCATTCCACCCAGGATTTTGGGAAACCTCCCTCACCCCCTCCCTTGGAGAGCCTCGGTAATGTCTGGCCCCTACTCCCCACCCCATTTCTTCTCGTTCCACAGTGTGGGGCTTTGGTTTTCTCAGTGTGTCCATGATTAACGTGGCTTCCCTGCTCGGAGTCTTCATCGTCCCGTGTGCCGAGAAGACCTTTTTCAGCCGGGTCCTCACGTTTTTCATCGCCCTCTCCATCGGCACTTTGCTCTCTAACGCGCTCCTCCAGCTCATCCCAGAGGTGCAGTAGAAAAAAGTCCTTGCCTCTCTTCCCACCTCTTCCAACGGGCACCTTCTCTGCCCTCCCACCTGCCAAATCCAACCCGATCCTTCCGGCGCCTGAAGCTTGAGGGGCTTGTCTCCAGGTGGGGGGAGGATCTGCAGGGTTTTTGTTGCCCCCTCGGAGCACCAGGAAACACTTGGGAGGGTGAGGGTGGTGTGGGGAGGTTGAGTGTGGCCTCCTGTCATAGAATCATCTCAGGGGTTGGAAGGGAGCTGGGAAGATCACCCAGTCCAACCCCTCTGCCAGAGCAGGGGCACCCAGAGCACATCACACAGGATCCAGGAGGGTTGGAATGTCTCCAGAGAAGGAGACTCCACAGCCTCTCTGGGCAGCCTGGCCCAGGGCTCTGTCACTTCACAGGGAAGAAGTTCTTCCTGAGATTCCCATGGAACCTCCTGTGCTCCAGTTTGCACTCACTGCCCCTTGTCCTGTCACTGGACATCACTGCACAAAGCCTGGCTCTGTCCTCCTGGCACTGCCCTGAACAGATTTGTGACCATGGATGAGGTCGCCCCTCAGTCTCCTCCAAGCTCAACAGACCCAGCTCCCTCAGCCTTTCCTCAGCAGGGAGATGTTCCACTCCCAGTCCTGCTGTCCCCTCTGGGAATGGAATCATGGAATGGTTTGGCTTGGAAGGGACCTTGAAGATCATCAGGTTCCAGCCTCCCTGCTATGAGCAGGGACACCTCCTGCTAGACCAGCTTGTACAAAACCTCATCCAACCTGCCCTGCTGTGTCCTTCATAGAATCATCATCATCACAGGATGGTTTGGGCTGGAAGGGACCTTAAAGCTCATCCAGATCCAACCCCCTGCATGGGCAGGGACACCTCCCACCAGCCCAGGCTGCTCCAAGCCCCATCCAACCTGCCCTTGGAAGCCTGCAAGGCTGCTGGGCAGCTCTGAGCTCCAAGAAGGTGCTGGGAGAAGCTGTTTTGCTCTCAGGATGCCTCTCAAGAGAATTCCCCCCTCGGAGGGTTGTGCTTTGGGCTTGGAGGCTTCTCACTCTTGCCGTGAGCCAGAGGGAAAGACCCACAAGGTGGAGGAAAAATCAGGATGTAAAAGGAGAGAACAGCCCAGAGAAGCACCAGCCTCCTCCCCAGCCAGCCCAGTTTTGACAAATATTTGAATTGCCTGGTTTTTTTTCTTCTCCCCCCCTCCTCTGGTTTACAAGACTGATGTTCCCAGGAGGATTTAAGCTTACGTGAGGTTTTCCTGGTGCTCTGATGGGACTGACAGATAGATGGCAAATTAATTGTGTTGTAATTGCACAGTTCCGGAGTTGAACAAACACACCCACGTGCTCTCAGATTAGGACACCTTGGAAACACACACATGCTTCCTTGGCCCCCCCACGGGGCCTTTCTCCTCCTCCTGGGGAGGAGATGAGCTGGATCCAAGCACATCCAGCTTTAAATCTTAATTCCCTGTCAGCACAGCTCCCTGGGCTGGGCTTTACCCCCAGCAAATTTTAGGTGGGATGTTATTCCAAGGCTTCTTTTCAACTCCAGAACTGTGCCTGGTTTTGTTTTTAATCTGCTGAACGTACAAACCTTGTTTCCTGCTCTGCCAGGAACTGAAATGCCTGGTGTACCCACCACCCTCGCCCTCAGGTGGAGCTTCCCAGTGGGATTCACAGGGATCAACCTCATCCCTCTAGGGCTGCAGGGCAAGGATGGAGTGTACAAGATGCTTGGGGGAACCTGGGTGCTCTGTGGCACTGGGATGACCACCCAATGTCCTTTCTATGGTGGTGCTGGCTCCAACACAGCCAAGCTGCCAAATCACAGCTCCAACCCTTCCAAGGGAGGCCTCCTCTCCTTGGCTGTTTGGTGGGAACACCACAGTGGAGTTTTTTCCCTCCACCCCTTCTCAAATTTGCTGCCTCCAGAGCCACTCAGCACCAGGTTTTTTTGCCCCTCCCTCCTCTTGATGAACAAACAAATCACTAATGAATGTCCTCTTCTCTCCCTCCCCTCCTTTCTCTCTTTCCTTTCGGCGTGGATTCCTTTCCCTCCCTGTTTCCCCCCCCCACCCCTTCCCCTCCTGGTTGATCTCCTCTCCCCCCCGGGGTGGGTTTGGCACACCAGTCTGGGGTTACGGTTTCCTCTGCGTGACCCTCATCTCCCTCTGCTCGCTGGTGGGAGCCAGCGTGGTGCCCTTCATGAAGAAGACCTTTTACAAGAGGCTGCTCCTCTACTTCATAGCTCTGGCGATTGGAACTCTCTACTCCAACGCCCTCTTCCAGCTCATTCCCGAGGTAGGGTGAGGACCATTGGGTCTGGCCTTCTCTCTCTCCTTTCTCTCCTCTCCTGGGGGCTGTTTCATAGAATGGTCAGAGTTGGAAGGGACCCTCTAGAGATCAGCCAGTCCAACCCCCCACCCCCCCCAAAGCAGGATCCCCCAGAGCAGATCCCACAGGAACACATCCAGGAGGGGCTGGAATGTCTCTCCAGAGAAGGAGGCTTCACACCCTCCCTGGGCAGCCTGTCCCAGGGCTCTGTCACCCTCACAGCAAAGAAGTTTCTCCCCATATTTCCATGGCACTCCCCATGTTCCAGCCTGTGCCCGTTGCCCCTCGCCCTGTCCCTGGGCACTGCTGAGCAGAGTCTGGCTCCATCCTCCTGCACCCACCCTCAGATACTTCCAGGCATTGATAAGTTCTCCCCTCAGCCTTTTCCTCCCCAGGCTCGACAGTCCCAGCTCTTTTCTCCTCATGGAGATGCTCCCCAACCATCCCAATTGCCCTCCCATGGACCCTCTCCAGCAGTTCCTTGTCCCTCTTGGACTGGGCAGCCCAGACCTGGAGCCAGTATTCCCAGTTTCTCTGGGCTGGCTGGAGAAGGGGAGCCCAGAGGGAGGTAGGGAGGCTGGAAGCCCCTTTGGACCATGGCTGGAGCTGGTGTTTCACCCCTCTTTGGAAGGGAATCACTCCAGGGATATCACACTCTGCTTCAAGCAGAGAAAAGCTGGTTTATTGCTCCTCTAGCCCAGCAGGCAGGTTGTAATTTTTGCAGAGCCTTTCTCAGCCTGCTTGTCACATCCCTGCAGGGTGGTGGAGCCAAGACCTTGGGGCCCAGCCAGCTTGGCTGGGGGAGAGAGGGAGATTAAAAGGACATTTTCTGAGCTTGCTCCCAAAGCAGCCACTGTTTGGAGAGGTCAGGAAGAGGCAGAAATGCCCCGGAGCTGCCAGGGTGAAGGCAGAGGAAGGACTTTTCCAGGGACTGCTCCTCACCCTTGTCACTATTTGCCTGCAGGCCTTTGGGTTCAACCCTCAAGAGGATTATTATGTTTCCAAATCAGCCGTGGTGTTCGGGGGTTTCTACCTCTTCTTCTTCACAGAGAAGGTCTTGAAGATGCTCCTGAAGCAGAAGGACCAGGTGAGGCTGAGCAAGGGCTGCTGGGGTGGGGAAAGGGCAGAGATGGCAGGGGTGGCTGACACCTGTGGGTACCCTCCCTATCCCCACAGCACCACCATGGGCACAGCCACTATGGGCCTGAGGCTCTGCCATCCAAGAAGGACCAGGAGGAGGGGGTGACTGAGAAGCTGCAGAACGGGGACCTGGACCACATGATCCCCCACATCACCAACGAGCTGGAGTGCAAGACCCCCTCTGGGGTTGAGAAGGTTGTGGTGGGCTCCCTCTCTGTCCAGGTTAGTGCCTCCTTCCGTGGTGGATGTGTGGAACAATCAGAGAATTATGTCTTGGGTTGGAAAGGGCCAATAAAGCTCATCTGGTCCAGCTCCCCTACAATAAGCTGGGACATCTCCAGCTAGACAGGTTACTCAAGCCTTGACCCTTAACGTCTTCAGGGATGGGGTCTCCACCACCTTCCAGCCCCCTCATATTCAAGAATGTCCAACCTAAATCTTACCCTTTTCTAGCTTAAAACCATCACCCCTTGTCCTGTTGTTACATGCCCTTGTGAACAGCTCTTCCCCAGTCTTATCACAGGCCCCTTTCCAGCGCTGGAAGGTCACTATAAGGTCTCCCCAGAGTCTTCTCTTCTTCAGGCTGAACATCCCCAACTCCCTCAGCCTGTGGGAGTTCCACCTTCTCAGTGAACAACACTTTTGAAGCCCTCTCTGACAAAATCCTCCATGGGTGGTGGAAAGACAAACTACTCATGTCATGACTTGGGTGGATTTAACGTGTGGAGGGGTGGGTTCCCCTGGGTGCTGGAAGGACTGGTGACCCCCCCTAGACAAGCTGGATGCTGACCCCTTTTGTGGCAGGACCTGCAGGCCTCCCAGAGTGCCTGTTACTGGCTGAAGGAGGTGAGGTACTCTGACATTGGCACCCTGGCCTGGATGATCACCCTGAGTGATGGGCTCCACAACTTCATCGACGGGTTGGCCATCGGGGCCTCCTTCACTGTCTCTGTCTTCCAAGGGATCAGCACCTCTGTGGCCATCCTCTGTGAGGAGTTCCCACACGAGCTGGGTGAGTGAGTCCTTGGGGAAAGCTGCCCCTCTTTAAGGCTAATCCTGCCAGATTCCTGGTCCTGCTTCTTCAGGCACGTGTGGGGTGGAATAAACCAGAGTAAGGATGGAGGGGGAAGGCAGGGCTGTAAACTCCACTGAGTAATGGCTGCTCTAAAAATAACGAGGTAATATGATGTCTGAGATTTAAATTTAGATGGAGACATCTGAAGAAAAAAAACCAAAAACCAAAGCAGCACCTCGTTGGGTTTGGGAGGGGGGAAGGCAGGCAGAGGTTTGGGTTGGAATGTCCCAACCGATGCTGCGGTCAGCGCCAGGCGCCAGCAGGGACAGGGAGCCCACACTTGACCTCTCCTTGCCCAAGCTGTCCCTGTGCCTGCTGGCCTCCCTCCTCATCCTCTCTTCTTCCCCAGGGGACTTTGTCATCCTGCGGAATGCTGGGATGACCATCCGCCAGGCTCTCTTCTTCAACTTCATCTCTGCCTGCTGCTGCTACGTGGGCTTGGCCTTCGGCATCGTGGCCGGCAGCCACTTCTCTGCCAACTGGATCTTTGCTCTGGCTGGAGGGATGTTCCTCTACATTGCTCTGGCTGACATGGTAAATGAGGAGCTGCTGGGAGTGTGGTTGGGACCTTGCCAGTGGGGGTGGGTTGGTTGGTTGGTTGTTTTTCCTGGCTTGGAATTGCTCTGGCTTGCCCTGGGGATGTTTGCTCAGTCCTCCTGGGCAGCGCTGTTCGTAGTGGCCAGAGTTTGTCTCTGATCTGCTTCACCTCCTGGAGACCTGGCTGGGAGCCCTAGGACAGGGGGGGAATATGTGCCCTGGTAGCCAAAGGGCCAGTGCAATCCTGGGTGCATGGAGAAGAGCGTGGCCAGCAGGTCAGGGAGGTTCTCCTGAGGCTCCAGAACTGCTCACAGAGCTCCAGATGGGCTCCCCAGTTTCTCAAGGACAAGGAGCTGCTGGAGAGAGTCCAGCCCAGGGACACTGAGATGCTGAGGGGCTGGAGCATCTGGCTGTGAGGAAAGTCTGGGAGAGCTGGGGCTGCTCAGCTGGAGAAGAGGAGCCTGAGGGGGGATCTCCTCAGTGCTGATCAGTATCTCCAGGGGGTGGCAGGAGGGGGGACCAGACTCTGCTCAGGGGTGTCCAGGGCCAGGACAAGGGGCCATGGGCACAAACTGGAGCCCAGGAGGTTTGACATGAAGAGGAGAAAATCCTTCTTGCCTGTGAGGGTGGCAGAGCCCTGGGCCAGGCTGCCCAGGGAGGCTGTGGAGTCTCCATCCCTGGAGACCTTCCAGCCCCTCCTGGATGTGTTCCTGTGGGATCTGCTCTAGGGGATCCTGCACTGGCTGATCTCCAGAGCTCCTTCCAACCCCAACAACTCCATGGCTCCTGGGATGGTGGGAAGCAGCAGGGAAGGAGGGAGCTGCTCCTGCTGCTGCTCCCTGCCATGCCTCCCTCCTCCTCTCCCCTGCAGTTCCCCGAGATGAACGAGGTGAGCCGGGAGGACGAGCAGACGGGCAGTGCCCTCATCACCTTCGCCATCCAGAACGCGGGGCTGCTGACGGGCTTCACCATCATGGTGCTGCTCACCATGTACTCTGGGCAGATCCAGATTGGGTAGGACCAGCCCGACTCACACCTCTCTCTTCCAGATTTTCCTTTTGGTTATTTTTTTTAATTTTTTTTTGGGGGGGGAGGGTGGGAAAGGGGTTTTTCTTTGTTTTTCCTTTCCCTGCTGCGAGCACCCGACGGTACCTATGTGGCCACCACAGCCCAGAGGCTTTGGCTTTTCAAGCTGTCCCACAGACTTGATCTTGTTGTGGTTTCAAGGCTGAGGGGACCTTCACCCCCTCTTGCTCTAGGGACCGAACTGACCCGAGGATCTCTACCCAGGATCTCTATCCCTCCTCTCCTCCCAACCTCCTGGGAAGGATGGATTTGGGAGACAGGAGCTCCTCGAGTGTTGCTCCTCTGCTTGTGCTCGGAGGGGTGTGATGGGACACACCTGACCCCTTTTTTGGGGGGTGCAGGATGGGGTCTGGGGGGTGCAGGGCTAGCACTGGATGCCAGCTGCCTCCACCTGCTCACCTCCTTGGGAATGGATGCACAGAAGGATGGGAAGTACCATCCCAAAGAAGGGGAGCAGGGACCCAGCAGGAAGGAGCTGGTGTTTCTCTCCTGCCTGGGGAGGTGGTGTCCTGCATTTGGGAACACACCGACCAGGACAGACCTTCCTCACAAGAGTTACCTGCCAGCCAGAGAGCTGCTGAGGAAGAGGAGGCCCCAGCTGGGCTCATCTGAGCATCAGCCTTGCTCATCTTCAGAAACCTGTCTCTGGAACCACCTCTGGTTTTGTTCCCCTTCTGCCTTGGCAGATGCCCTGAGAAGAGCAGGGTGAAGAGGGTTCCTTTTAAAGCACATTTTTGGGGGGCTCAGCGCTGGGAGCAGAGGACACCAAACCTGGGACAAGGCTGGCAGGATGCCCTCACACCCCCCCCCCCAAGGTCCCTGCTCTGTTTTGGAGGGTAAAAAGCCCTTTTCCTTCCACGAGGGCAGAGGATCAGTCCCTACACTGTGACCAAGCTCACACCAACACCTGGGAACAGACACAGGCTCTGAAAGCTGCTGAGGGGGGGTGGGGGGGAGGAG